CAGCCGCTGAACTCGTGAAATTATTAAATACGAAGGTGTCCTTGAACAGCGCACTGCGCGGCGTTGGTTTGAAAAATTTAGCAATGGATATACGACGTTGGAAAGAAACAAGGGCTCTGGAGAACCATTAATGGATATTGATGAAGTTCTGCAGGAAGCTGTTGAGTGAAACCAGTCCAAAAGTACTCGCGAACGTATCAGGGAGTACTTGTGTCTAACACATTAATCGCCTTGAGGTCGTCAGTCGATTTTCCAAATTTAAGTTTCCCTGCAAGTTCTCGAATAGCTGATTCTTCCACCAAAAGCCCGTAGAACATCATCATCAAGAGAGGAAGTCCTTCCACGATCTTCTTTGTCTTCAAGGCTGAATTATCAAGGCTGAAATTTCTTGAACCACCATTAAACAGTGCGCTCATTAATGCTGCTCTCGCTCCAGACTTGATTGATGTTTATGGCCTTCTGGGCCCCGTACCAAGTTTAACTCTGTAACTAAATTACACGAAAATCATGTGTTGACTTCTCAGTAAAGACGTTATCATTAGGAAGAGGATTAATAAGTGTTGACATTCATACAAATGAATAATTCAGTAAACGTAAACAGTTTTTTTAGAGAGGTATTTTAAAGAAAAATCAAAATCTTGTATTATTTTCAAAACAACCCAATAATAAAGGAGAAAATATGAACATTTTAAATGCCTAATGCCTTTTATAGATTTGCAATGTATATACTGAGTGTAGCGAATGTACTAAAAATCATTTAAATCGGAAACATATAGGTCAAGGCCTCTGGTGATGATCCAAAAGTTGAAAGTCTGGGTTAAAAATCATTCTATATTATCCTGACAGCCTAATATTGGAATAATATTGAGATAAAAAGTCGAATAAATAAATTTTCTATATGAATAAATCCATACTTAATCTCCATATTGGCAGGACGTTATACGATAATAAACTGGAATTATATTTTGAGTAAATCCAAGCAGCCTTCCGTTTCATTATGTTGTCAGACGGACTGAAAAATAAGCCGTGATCCCTGAAAGGACTCAGAGGCCATACCCGAGATGGCATATAAAGATGGCAGCCATCAGCTCCCTTATCTCCAGCTCTCATGCCTCCTCCTCCATTTGTCCTTCATTTAATTAAGGATCACGCTAGCTTTCACCAATCCTCTTTTTCATCAGAGGGATCAATTTTCTTAAGCCAAGTCATCAGCCAGCTCAAAATCAACTTTTTCTAATCTTTTTCTTCCGAGTTGACCATATTATTTCTTTCTTTCCTCCTTTTATTTTGTAAAATGCTAAATAAATATCGAATATTGAGAGAGTTCTCTTGAATTCGAATTAATAGCGTATAAATAAATAATATACATATATTATGTTTGTATAATGCTTATTATGTTGGCTGAATGTTGCATAATTATATCATCTATCAAATAAATAGAATAAATATAATAAGTGTGAAAATCGCTGCCACAAGCTCAAGAGCTAAGTCGATATTTTGTCCGGCTTGTCCGGAAATTATTCTTTTTCTTACATTATCTTCCTCGTCGAGCCTTTTGGCGTAGATAGGCCTCGATCCAGCGCTCCAAGTTTTCACGGTCGCTGCTTTATTTCTGATAGGAAAATCTTGGATAGGCACGTAGTCTTCTACTTTTGAGCTTGCATTAATTAGATTAGCTTCCAATGTCCTTCTGGTTTCTCACAATTCATCCATTCGACAAATATGTCCAAATCATTTTAACTGTCTGTTTTCCATGACTGTCTTCAATGGAGGCACCTCTAATTTATCTCTAATTATTTTGTTTCTAACGCAGTCTCTCCTTGTCTTTACCGCTGCATTACTTGCACTTTATCTCACCGCCATAGTTCGGAGCCAATAGGTATATATATATATATATATATATATATATATATATATATATATATATGGTTTATTATTTGTAAGTAGCTTAATAAATTAATATATTCTGAGGCGCTTCACTTCACTGTCGAAGGTAAAGAAGCGTTGTACTCATGTGGGAGATTAATATTTTATTATTCCCTAGATTAAAATTTAAATTTTCAGTGGCGTTTTAAGTTTTTAGACATCAAGAAAAAAAATGGTTTTATGTCTGTCGGTCAGTCTGTCTCTGGTATAATCAGTACAATAATCTCAATTTCTTTGACATTTTCAGGGATTATATGGATTAATACATAGATTTGCCAGTATATATTTCATCAAATTCCATCAACTACTAACGCAAATGGATTAGCAAACGCTGTTTCTTTTTTTCTTTAATGCTCATTACAAATATAAAATGTTAAACAGAAATTAGTTGATCGCCCGCGATCTAATGTGGCGCAAAGCTGAAACTCACATGTTGGTTTCTCTTTAAGCCTCCGATATCGCTTACAAAATATTCATAAACTTATACCTATATCGAAATTTCCTAATTGGCGTATATTAGTAAATGTTTTGTAAGTAATGTCGGAAAGTTATGCAAAATCAAAAGTGTTAGTTTCAACTGGGTGCCACATGAGAACTCATGTGGACCCTAGGACAACCAACTAATTGTGGTCAAACTATTACATATTTCAAAAACTTTTTTTACAATGATATGCCTAATCTCGGAGTCTAATACGCAAGGATAAAAAATAGAAGCTTACAGATACCTAATACAATTCTGTCCAAGATTTGCCGCAGTAAGAAAGAGAAAAGCCTTTTTTTTAGAAAACTTAAGCCCTTTCCGGTCATTTAACAGCCTAATAAGTTCTACTATTTTCTAAAAGTTCTTCAAATAGCCCAGGTAATTGGAGTTTGAAATAAAGAGATAAGTAGAGAAAATTTGAGGCTTTTGAATCAATTTACACTTATCTAAAACCTAATCGATTCATTTTGTAATTGAGTACCGATAACCGATAACGTAATAATGATAAAACTAAAATAAACGTTTTGAAGGAACGTCTTAGTATTTAAATTTCCTATCTGACTATGCCACTTAGTTTTTTTTTCAAAAATTAATTTTTTAGTATTTATTTATTTATTTAATCGTAATTACTGCACTAGTATTATTGCCTTAATTAGACACACTGATTTAGTTTGGACATTGTTCGGAAATATTACTTTATCGGTTTCACAATATGTTATTAAACATGGTACATATTAAATGTTCTTTTCGAAACCATGACAAAATAATTTAATGTGTTTTTAATTACTACTTTTATTCTTCGAGACGAAAAACTGTATTTTTCTTCCGTGTAAACACGCCACATCACGTGTTGACATCATAGCTTTCAAATAACGCACGGCATTGATATTCGATATACGTTTTTAGGAGTTTTAAAACAGGCTGAAAGACATTTAATACAGATAAAGCTAAAATAGGAGGACGATAAAAGAAAATATCCAAAGGCCGACACCCAACCGTCACTGATTTTAATGATAATTTTCATATGAGCCTTTGACAGAATGACTAAACCGAATTTCAACAACTTTGAATAAAGTCATTTTAATAATAATAATTATATTTCATTTGTTCTGGGACGAGTCCCTTTAGAGAAATATGGGCTAAGGAACCTCAGAGATATATAAACGAAAATACAGAGTAATTAAACAGTCATAATAAAAAAAAAATATTATTATAATTAAATAAAAAGTTACTTTCTATCTTTAATCAGTTGATAATAAAAATAAAAAATTTAAAGAACATGAATCAAAAATAATGAATAACGATCTAATAATTTATATACTTATTTACAGTATTATATTTACAGTAGGCTAAGTAGTCTCAAAGATAAATAAACAAAAATACAGATTAATTAAATAGTCATAATAAAAAATAATAAGTTACTTTCTAGTTAAAACCAGTTAATAATAAAAAATTGAAAATAAACATGAAGTAAAAATAATAAATAACGATCTAATGATTTATTTACATATTTACAGTAGTATCTATTTACAATTTTATGAGGACTGGATGGATATGAAATGATTGAACAGACGGGATTTAAAGGTAAGATGGGTATTGGATTGACGGATGTGGGAAGGGATGAAGTTCCATAGGGATGAGGATCGGATAATCAACGATCTGTCGAAAGCAGCGGTTCTATGAGCCATTATGTATAAATCAGAAGTACGAATATTGCGGGCACAAACAGAGGATTTGAATTGAAGGATCTCGGAGATGTATGAAGGCGGTGGGATTGGATGACCTGAAAGAGGAAACATGCCAAGAAATACTTACGACGGTAGGAAGGATAAAGCCACTCTGTATAAAAACGGGAAAGAGAGGCGTCCCTTGGGATCTCGAAGGTGAATCGTACAAAGCAATTTATCAAACGTTTTAGTTTCGCCTCGAGATTCCCAGAGACACCTCCATATACCGTACAGCAATAGTCAAAGTGGGGAAAAATTAAGGAAGTGATTAGCAGCGGGTTTCAATGGAAAATAGGTGACGCAAGTAATTTAGACGTTTTAAGTTGAAAAGGTACGGTGGGAGATATTAAATAGATGGTTTTTCCAGGAAAGAGTTTGATCAAAGGTTATTCCAAGGTTTTTTAGTGATATTTCCATTTGGAAATTTTATAATATTTATACAGACAGGGAGTAAGTTGATATTACGTGATTGTAGTATTGAGATATAGAACTATGAATAAAGATAATAACTTTTTCCACTCGAAATATCACTAAAATTAATAATCAAAAATGTTAAAATTGGAGTTAGTCATTCTGTCAACTGAAAGGCTTAGGAAGTCATATAGTGATCAAAAATATTCCTCCCTCAGATGGTGATGGGGTTATTTTGTTAATGTGCAGTTGTCGTGTTGTGACACTAAAGGTTTTTTTGAAACCACACGCTGTTGCATGTCTGGCCAGGTCATAACATGACAACTTTCTTGTAAACATTTTGATGAGGATCATCATTTATCATTATTATTTAATATTCTTGTTTTTATTATCATTTTTGATAATAAAAACTTATTTCTAAATAACTAATATTGAAATATTTTTTGGGTCAAGAGGAGGAGGAGGAAGAAGCCGAGACAGACGTAGAGGACGAAGAGGAGGATGAAGAAGGCGAAGAGGAAAGGCCACCGATTCTGCTGAGGGTGCCCAGGGTGGCCATGGAACCGGATGGCCTCAGTGTGGTACCTGAAGAATCTGAGGATGGTGGATCCACACCGGAACCTCAAGTATACGTAAGTAATTTTTAATAAAAACATTATGTGCAAAATAATAATAAAATGCTGTATTTATTCTGGGAAAAGTCCCTACATAATGAAGTACAATAACGGAATTGTGAGCTTCAAAGCTTCAAGAGAAATAAAAAAATTATAAGTTCACTCCTAACTTTAATGAACTCAAAAATAAATCAATGAAACGTGAATTAATAACAATTAAAAACGAATTAATAATTTATATACCCGCATACAGAAATACCTATTTACAATTTTTTGTGTACTGGCTGAATACGAACTGATTGAACAGGTGAGATTTAAAGGTGGGGAGGATATTAGAGCGACTGCTGTTGGAATGGATGCAGTTTCGTAAGGATGAGGATCGAATAATGAAAGATTTGTCTAAAGTCTCATACCAGGATATTTCTTTTTGATTAATAAAATAGTTTATTTCTATATTATCCGAAGTGCCCAAGGGATCATAAAGCTACTCTCCTACATTGACCTTTCCAATAGATTTTTAGTTCGTCAGAGACTAATATAAAAAGCAATATTCTAATTTTTAAAATGTACATATAAGATAAATATCCCATGGCAACGGTTCATCTCAAAAAATGGGAGCTAAAATGCAGGGCCAGATAGTAATCCGTGTTACAGGCCCTGTTTTATAAAATTATTAACATCCGGCAGAAAGTTCGTAAATACTTTTATCTCAGCGTAATCGACAACCATTTCATTTACAAAAATTCTCGGAATTGTGGCGTTTCCAATCTGGAGATCGGCAAACTTGATCTATTTAATTAGGTAATAAAAAAAAGTCTGCCAAGTAAGGTCAGTATTGGCAAGTATTGGCTAAAATATTAAAATATTACAAGGTATACAATTTTTCGTATGGGAATAAAATCTCTGGTAGAAGCCGATTCGGAAATACAAAGCTAGAATATATAAAAATATGGGTGAAGTTCACATAACTTCGATATTTAAGGAAGAAATCGAAACCAAGACGAACTGATAGAACTTCAAAGGAAATAAACACAATCATAAAGAAGACGTTGTTTTTTCTACAAACTCAAGATTATAAACTACTTTAAATGTATTGAAAATTACATGAAATCTAAGAAACGGCAGTAAGTGTCGTGCCAGTAACGTTTGGAATCGACCAAACAATACAGTATCAATTAATTTTTTGAATAAAACCAAAAATTTTATAATCCCATAATAATATTGCAATAATCTAACTCCCACTACATATGATCAGTGTCTTCAACATTTCACAGCCATTATATTGTTTACAATTATTTATATTAATTTTGATTATGAAATGCTATTCTATGAAATTGATAATAAGTAATTTCTATACTGTTCTCTAAATTTCCTCCAAGTTTGGGTCAAATCGAATGCGCCATTTTCAAATTCTAGGCACATCAAATAACTCCTTTCCTGATCTGAAAGCGGAAGTATTTTTTTGGTCGGTATTAGATAGAATTTGATAAAATTGGTGACTATTTCATTTTACGTTTACCAATCCCTACATTCCCTTAAAATTTGAGCAAAATCGTACTTGCGGGTTTAGAGATATAGGCGTATCAACAAAAACGCGTTTGGACATATATAAGAGAAAGGAACGGATAGAATTCGATAAAATTGACCCTACATTATTTTTCCACAAATAAATACCTTTTATCCAATTTTGAGCCAAATCTAACGAGATTTTTCGTGTGCCTAAGCGGAAATGCTGGTTAGAATTTAATGAAATTGATATTGGACCATCTAGGCACCAATTCGCATAATCTCTGAAAATTTCATGAAAATCGGATGAACGATACTAGGTGATATGCACGTCACATCGATTTCGCTACAGAGAGACAGACACCGAACCAGATATGATCCTTGATGTTTGAAACGTAAAACGCGAGTGACAATTTTCGATTCTGATCACAAAAATTTGTTTAACTCTCGCATGAATACAATGCTTCCCTACCTTCGGTAGTGAGGAAGCAAAAGGTAAATACTCATTAGCTTTTCACTTCAATCATAAATACTTTTACCACGAAATCGAGAAAAAATGTGGCCTTCTAAAATATTCAGCAGTTTGGCGTGACTTACACCTCCAAAATGTTATAATAACGAGATTATATATTTCCCAATTTAATTAAAATTTAATTTAATTAAGAGGATAATTTAAGGGAGATTTAAAATTTCCCAATATTTTTATAGGCCACCTTTTTTTTTCGATTTTGTGGAATTATCGTAATTATTATAAAATGATCGATCCAAGTGGGAAGCAAATGGATATTTACGAGTTTTAATACCTAATTAAATAGCTAAATTTTGCCGATCTCCACATTGAAAACGCCCCAATTCCATGAGTTTTCGAAAATAAAATAATTGTAGGTTACGATGAGATGAAGCTATTCACGAAGTTTTATACGGATGTTAATAATTTAGTAAAAAGGCGTCTATACCACAGACTATGGTTGCTTAAATCTTTGTTGATTCGATCATTCCATCTTGAGAAATTTGAATTCGTCGTTACTCCATGGAATTCCTATTTGTTTGATACCTCATTCATTAACATTCATCTCTAAGGGATCATTACTAACATATTATATATAGTATAGATTTCTAAAATATTATGATGGTTATCATCGGACTCTTCTTTGCCTCATTGATGACTAAGATCCCCCCAACAAAACCTCAGTTTGTACATGAGATAGGAATGCGTTAGTGTGGCATAGAGGTAGGACTGATTAAGGTAAACAGGATGTTTGTTGAAAAGAGAAGCTAGAGAGGCTGCACAATATAGACGGCTGGGAACAAATATTTATAGGTTCTCTATCGCAAGCTGAGATAACCAGTCCGGATCCAGCATGGGAGTGGCGCACGGCAAACTCCAGGTAACCTCTTCAACTCTAACTAAACTTTACTTTCCCTTTTTATAGCCCTCTACTTTCCCCAAATCCTCAGCTCTTTATCTACTCTTTCTTCTTCTTAAATCTCTTTCACTGTCTGTCTGTGAAACATTAAGGACCCCTCTAACTGTCCTACTAAATTTTAAATGAACTTTATTCCTTCGAAGGGTCAGGAATCGTATAACGATTACTGCTTTTGGGTAATTTCTTTTCTTTTAAATATTATACAATATAAATATTCTAAATATTTACTAATAACTCCTCTTGATGTTTCATTTCAATTAATTTTAGGGAAACTATAAGAACCTTAGAAACATACACATTAACAGCTTGACCTTTGGTTTTAAAATTTACAATAGCTCTATTATCTTTTATCATAATTCAATTCATAATGGAAATGTACTACTTTTTTTTTCTATTAACATTACATACTTTTTACATCTTGCGAGCCAGAACCAGCCTTTTTTAGCTCTGTCTATCTTGAGATATTTCTTTTCAGTTATATGCATGCAGTTCTCTTGCATCTTTGTTGATTCGATCATTCCATCTTGGTTTTGGCCTTCTATATGGTCTCTTGCCTACTATAGAGGTATTCACTGTTGTTTTGAACCTTCCTGATGGATTGCTACCATCTTAACCTCCTTGCCTTCATATAATGGGATATTGATCGACCTCTCTCTGTAAGCACTTCTTTATTGGTCGTTTTCTCCTATGCGGGTTTAGTAACTATTCTATAGTTATGATTGTTTTGAGATTTGGTATCAATGTCAAAGGACACTCGAGGATGATTTTTGGAAACAGACATTACCACCCGCACTTCCTTCCGCACTTTCAAGAAGGCGGCTGAAAAATCTGTATCCTATAGACTGTAGCGCCTAAACGAATGTACCGATTTCAGTTCAACTTGGCCAAAGTCTTGTTCTTAGAAACCAAGAGATTTAAAAGTTTACGGTATTACAAAAAAAAAAATTGTTGAAATCGGACGATTTATTTCAAAGATATATTGTAAATATTTTCCACATCTTCTGCTGCAACGCTGATAACGTTTGTTTTTGTTTTTCGTTTTTGTTCTATGTTTTTATTCTTACCAAATTACAAATGATGAAAAAAATAATAATAATTTAGGCCTATATTAGGAATCATATTTTATTTATTTTTCTCTACGTGAAAAGAATAGTAGTATTACGTTTGATACATAACTGTTTGGAAATAATAAAACATTGTGTAATTTATATATATATTTTATTTATCATTCTAATAAACCTCTTTGTTGGCTGTTCACCAGTGTTCATGAAAGATACAGTTGATTCAGCTCGGAAGTTTTCAACTGCATAATTCGGCAAACCGGCAGATACTGAATGCCATTTTTTAAGTTTGGTGATAAATTTGGACATATATTGTATGATTACCCATATTTTACTCAAATCTGGCGATAAAAGTTCATCACAATTTTCAATGAGGGTTGGAAACTTGCCAGATCATCTATGAATTTAAAATAGTCCATTTTAAGTGAAGACATGAGAAACGTTCCCATTTCTGTCATTTAATGTATTGAATGTAGTGCTTCGTCAGACATCGATTATATTCCTCTTGGTTTAAGAGTATTCTTGAAAAATAAAACCGCCGTTACTGAATTTGCAGTTGACTCAAAGATCGTGACAACGGTTTAACTTTTTTTTTAGAATAATCCTTTATATTGTGAAGACCATTAAAAACTTTTAGGTAGATTTAAAGTTAAATATTACCTATTAAAAATAATTGTAAAACGAATTGGTTAAAGGGTTATTGTAAATGAAGAAATAAAACGGCATTCAAATGTATCGTGTTACGATACTAAAGAACAGCACTCAAATGAAATTTATGATCTAATTTAACACGATTATGTTACACTTTTCATTTTAAGAACCTTTGACTGATGCCAAACAAATATGAATCATTCAAAAGAAATAAACAAACAATTCATTTTTAGGATTTTTCTTGTTCCAAGTTCATTCGGATGGGCAGATTTATTTTTTAAATCCACCAAAAATTAAAATAAAACAAAAGCATTGATTACATTTTTTTTCGTTTGGTTTATCTATTTTTACCATCTTGTACCTTATTACATGA